AAGCTCAGGGTCCAAACTCTGAACTTAATGTGTTAACAAATAATGTATATTAAATAAGTAAGTTCATATTATAGCCTTTTAAATAAACAACATTAAGTATGAATTTTTTAATAATAAAAAACTGTAATTTTCTATTCTTAATAACTTAAAGGCATAATAAAATAAACAAACGTAGAAAAAAACGCTCGTATATTTGGGGGCAGTACAATACCGAATTTTATAACATTGGTACCGAAAAAGCGGTTTGTCGAGCGAGATATCAACAAAGTCCTATTGAAGTTTATGCAAGATTCTTGGCAATCGATCAGGTAGCTATTTTTAGTTTTTTCAATTTACATTATTTAAAGAAGGTGATTGTTTGCAGAATTCTGGACGTACAAGTTACTTCATATCACGACGCACTGGTTTAAGAGTAACAGATTTAGTTCAACCCTTATTAAGAATAGCCGATCCTAAAATTGCTTCTTTGAAAGGGCGTATTCTTCAAGGAAGGTCGATTGGTAAAACAGATGTACAGGTAATTTACAAAATTTGTATGTATATATATATAATGGAGTATACATTATACACATATATAACGTTGAATTTCCTGTGCGAAACCTTATTTCAATTATTTTGTATTAACAGTAAAACGTAAAGCTCGTATCGCTTTATACCTACTGTATTAGTAGTGTACGTGTTAAATAATATTAACTTATTAATAAAAAAAATTAATTTTTAAAGTAATGTAATAATCATTTTAAGAAATAATAAAGCTACTGAAAAATTTCTGAATACTACACCTTTAAACTAAATGAAGGACGAGGTTTAATGTATTCCTCCGTGGCATGCACTACTCTGTTTAAACAAATGAAAATAGTCTTCATAAAAATGGTTATGACATTATAAATATCCTAAACATATTACAACGAACTAAGAGACCAATAAATTTATTATCTATAGAATTAAAACAAAATGTAAATAACGAAGAAATTTATTCAATTCAGTATTTGCTTCACTCCAAAACCCAATTTGAGCTACCTCGCCCACAAAAAGTTATAGCTCAATGTTCTAACAGTCAAAAATATGGGCACACAAATAATTTCTGCACTAAGTCACTAGTTTGTGTTAAATGTGCAGGAAATCATAAAGTCGCCTGTTGTCCAACAAAAGGAAATACCGAAAACAAGAGCTTTGGCTTATGAGAAGAAAGGCATACAGCCAATTACAAGAGATGTGGGGCATACAAATCATTTAAAATCAAACGATATCCTATCTTGAGAGAAAAAGTAACACCCGTTCAAACAAGCCATTAGCAATCATTTAACACAACAATCAATTCAACCACTCAAAACACAAACGCCAACATCCTACAAACATTATCATATGCCTTAGTCTTACGCCTCTTAATGTAACTCTTACAACTCAGAACTTTCAGAGTTAAAGGAAATGATGAAAACATTTATAACAC